TAAGTTACTCTGTTCGATTTCATCACTTGTAACGAGGTATCAGACTTCTCCTAGGGGATATCACGTTACGTCATCATACCAATGGCGTCATCTCAGAGTCGATAGATGTTACTACGTACCCAAATGTGGCGGAGAAAAATATTTCAGTGTCTGGTGATTTAGGAGAAGCGACTAAATAATGTTTCTCCAACCTCCAGTCTATGTCATAACCTAGTTCCGCCAGGAAAGTGCAGTAACCCCACAACACATTGGCGTGCGTATGTACGTTACGGGAAACATCCTTGGTTGGTGGGAATGAAAGGATATTTTATAAACAGTACGTTCTTGACATCTCATATATGTACACCGAGAATCTTAACAGATATATCTTCAAGGTATTTAAATTAAGAGGGGAACATGTAACTGATTTCCAGTCGTAATGTTTTATGGAACTTGGGTAACTGAACGTCAACGCTTACTTCTGTATTTCTCTTTAATATCAAGCACATGTAGGCCACTGGCCTTTGGTAAGAATAAATGTATACAGCTGGGAATACAGTTTTGGGTTTGATTTCCTTTGCACGGTGAGATGGCTGCAAACTGCTATTATTTCTATTAAATGTGTGCGTTATTTGTTTTATTTTTAAATTAACGTTTTACATTCACTGGACTAATTCTTTTCTAAATCCGCACCAAAGTCACGACCCAAATCGTGTCTTGCTAAGATTTGTTTCGACCATGTATTACTTACATATGTGTGTGAGGGAACTTAACCAGCGTTTTGTGAAAAATCGCGGTTCGGGAGACCAAATTTCTCAAAACCAATTGAAAATGTTATTTAAAGAAAAACCTTCTTCTTGAAACAAATTTAACAAATTTACAAGAAAACCCCACTCAATGATATTGAATATATCGATCTGTTTTGTTTTTTATGACCCTTTATATTATATTAATTTGTATTTTAGTTTGAATATATCGATTTTTTGGGCTTTCTTGCCGTTAATCAGTTCTTAGAAAATTGTGTCCCAGTCGCCTCTTAGGGTCATTAAAAAAATGGAGCCTCATACCTACATCGGATTTTAATCAGATTGTGTATATATTAGCTATCACTACATATCACACTTTATATCAACACATCAAAAGTAAAATCCCTTTGATTTCTGGGTGTCAAAAAAGAATTCTTTGGTTATTGAACATGTCAAAAAAGGACCCTTACCTAGTATTTTGAATTTATATACCCCTTGGGTGCCTCGCATACCCGTTTATAAGTTTCCACAAGTGTCCCGGGTTTTGACGTCCCTCGTCTATGTGTTGTGTTGCGAGGAGTTCTACAGTTGATTTTTTTATAAACGAATTGTAGGTAAATTGAAAAATTGTGTAACAAAAAAGATAGAATACTTTCGCTATTTATTTACCAAAAATATAGAATATCGATGTTCCATAAGTTGTGGATTCAACCGAGCTAAGTGTACTTGGGGAAAAATTACTCGGATGAATACTCACGCTGTAAGTGTGGTCGTCCGCAATTTCAAAATCGGTTGGTTTTCATTAAAATATCACTCACTAATCAACTCTTTGCGTAGATACCACACACGTCATTCAAAGTTACGGAGTGTTCAAATGGTGGTATTACCGTTGTTAAATATACACTTCGTGTCCTTGAAATAAAACATGAAGTTGTTGATGATGCTACGTCATTTAGGGCTCGACCATTTGAAATCATGAGGGTGAATAAACGATTTGTTAAAAAATGTGCAGAGGGAAAAATGGAAGCAGAAAAGTACTGTTGAAAATAAAAGTGTACAGAAACCGTGAAAAATTGACTGGTCACACTCTCCCAGCCACCCCATGATTTTAAATGGTTGACACTTTAAACAACGACGTGCATTTAATAACATTTCAACGTTGAATTCAGTCAAGAACATTGCCATATTTGTATTTATTTAAAAAAGGTGCGTCGGCAAAATGTTTGTTACATCATCCCTCCAACGAAATAACCAGGTATCAATACAATAAATCCAATTTATTACCGGTGTTTAATATAAAGATACATTACAACAACATACATATATTTCCACAGTTGTTTTCGACATCACCACACGCCATAATACAGTTGGTTGCGTGTAATTAGTGACGTCACTATTCAGTCATAATTTTACAGGGCGACCGGACAACTTTGACTCATGCTTACGTCTCACGTCAAAGAACTTCGAAGATGTCAGATATTGCTTAATTTACATTTACAATTAATTTTATATACAGGCTACTTTATATTGTAAGTATATAAACTTTACCTCATTCGGTTTCGCCTCGGACAATCTGCGCTGCTATACCATACTGGTATTAAATTAATCCGAGTTGTCATATATTTCACATTTTACAAAACAAAATACGATCCATGTTAAACTAATTATTATTATTTTAACTATCTATATTCAAAAGTTACAATATTAAACATCTCAGAAGTAAAACCAACTGAGGGCGCTGTGTCATGTTCCAGGCGAACGCTGTAAATAACAATCTGTGAAAAACACACAGTTTAGTCGAGAACTCAAGGCCGTAGGAAGCAAAAATTAGTTGGTCCGGCCATCCATCGAGGGCCGTATGTCCGAGGTGTATGATGACGTGGGCCGAAGGAGAAGTGATCTGGCCATAGCCGGTATGGCCGGTACGGTTTCTAAGGCCTTGGAACTATATTTTAGTCCGAAGTTAGCCAGTAAAATATCCACAAACGATCCACAAAACATACGTGATGCACCGACTCAGCTTCTCATTTCAAACTCAGACCAATTGATATTTTCCGCCATTGTACATGCGGCCAGAAACTTCTCAAATTCACGGAATACTGGGAAAAAAATAACAAAAATATATGACGGGGGTATGAATCACATTACACTTATGTCAAATATTTCTCGGTTATGCAATCCCTGCTTTCATAACACTGCTTTGTGATTGGTCTGACTTGACATCATTTACATCGATGGATATTCGATATGATGATAAATTATGTATCATCGTCTGAGTCATGAGAGAATTAACCCCTACAACTACACCATTTAATCATTCAAGGATGCATTTTGTAATAAAATAAGACAAATTCACAGTAATAAATTAAAGGTCATAATAAAACATGTTTGTGTATGGCTTTTACGTCTAGCACATGCAACTGCTGTGAATCGAAATGACATTAAATTCTGCCGTCCAACTAATGCAACCAAACTGTTACGTTTACATAGACTATCTCAATCGTTTTTGGTCATGGGTGATATCTTATTTTAGCAGCCCATGACCAAACCACGTGACAGTATGGTTGCCGTAGTTGGACACAAGTGGCCGAATTGCGGTTATTTAAAAAGGGGTGAGTCGTCACCTGCGCACGGCATGCGTTAGATGGTCATAGCGTGTCATTGTTTACAAACAAGCGTCTACCCATGAGCCTTTGCGTTTTAGCGTGTGTAGTTATCGTCGCCTGGAACTCAATTCTCGCGCGAGCGCAGGTGACCATCCTCCCGCTTTGATGTCATTTCGACACACAATTACGACGCTGAACGTTAAATTAAATAGCCATACGCATTTTTTTGAATATGACCTTTCTCACAATTCGCCGCGCACTGTGAAACGTTGGCACGTATCTGCATGACGATCAAGCAATCCCATGACATAGGGGCCCAGTCTCTAATTAGTAGGTCGTATGCACGATATTTCCTCACAGAGGTCGGAAGTACAAATTCACTATAAATATTGTTTTTTAGTATACTCCTCAAAATTGTTAGCATTAGTCATTGAGGTTCAAAAACGTGCTCACAAATGATATATATGATTTCGACATGAGTAACTTGTAGGGACCATGGTAACAAATACAGCGTTTAACATATTAAAAATTGAATATACATGTACGAGACATCACAATAAATAATGCTTGGGTCAAGATATCAGCTAGTTGAATGAGCGGTAATTCATGATTTGTTTTACTGTGTAGGACTCTCCTTTGGTGTGACTTTTCAGAAGCGCTATTCAATACACTGATATCACTTAAAGCGGGGGTGTCGTCACCAGCGCATGCGTCAGATGGCCATAGAGTGTCATTGTTTACAAACAAGCGCCTTCCCATGATCCTTTGCGTTGTTGGCGTGTGTTGTTATCGTCGCTTGGGACTCAATTCCCGCGCGTGCGCAGGTGACGACCCTCCCGCGTAACTAATAGTTAAAAAAAAAATAGTTACTCAGTAAATAGAATATTTTATCTTTCCACGATTTATGGCTCAAGGGCAGAGTGAATAGGGTACTACAGCAATGCATTCTGGGTACACGTAAAATGAAACACTAATTTAGGAAACTATTATCAATGCTGTCGGCCTATACGGTGTCTGAACAAATAGCGTAGCGCGCGCTGTAAACCAACCAGATAACAGTAGTGTTTGCACATGCGCAGTGTGTCTTTCAACGTGACACTAACCTAGGTATCGGCAGACATTATGTCGATGGGTCAGTCCTTCCTCCCATGTGATTGGCTCCGACATGCTTTCGACATCTAACAGAATAGAAAAGAGGGCGTAATTAGAGAATTTAACGCCTGTTTTCCTCTTTCACAGCGCAGCGTATGTTCAGCGTGATAAACCACGTGACTGCATAGAAAGAGATTTACATTCCCAGGTGTGTACTCCACAGTAAATTGTATTGTCAGAAAAACGTAGTCCTTCAAATTTTGAGTAACTTCGCTAACAATAAATTATGTCGAATGAAACCTGGCGTATTGCGCTGTTTATTGACAAAGTAATTCACGTGGCTTTCATCATATACCCTTATTAAAGTATCACTGTAACCAAATTGTAATAAATTCAATCAGTTCTATCGGACGGGCCACGTTTTGGATATCGATTTTATGTGCACTTGTTATTGATGGACAGACCACATATCAGAACAAAAATAAAGTTAATATTGTAAACGGAGTCCCTTGCAACATTTAGAAGTGTTTCGTCGCTAGCGGGCGCAACCAGTGCGTTGAACAACAAAATAACTCACATCCATAGTGTATCATCTGATGTACTGGCACGTGTTTTCGCATGAACCATTCCTTCCAACTGTTGTCCTGTTTGTACGGCATGACGTGCACAAAGGATACACATAGTTGGTTGGTTTCGTGAGGTCTGTCTCCAAACCGAACTAGAAACGTCCCGGGTGTGTCGTTATGGAGACCAGCGTCTACGTCCTGTCTGTCACAACGTCCGTAGAAATACCTGCAGTGTGAAATTTGTACAAATTCGGATGAATGTAAGACAGCATGTATGCTGAAAACATATTCTAATCTGTGGGTTTCAGTGTCACGCGTTATATATGTCGAAGTACGTCGTCAATTCCGTCATTTTTCCCACCCTCTTTCGCAGAAAATTATGTCATAATCAGTTAAATAAGCTAAATACGTACCTATTTATTAGAAAGTGATTTGGCTGGTCACGTATGAATGCTGACAAATGCTGTCTACATGTTGATGACGTAATCAAACATGTCGCGTACCACAGAGCCACACATTGTATATTTCATATTGTTCTACTTAGCCAAAAATGATCGGCGATAGTTAGTGCGCCCTCACCGGAAAACTAAGTGTAACATTCAAATCGATTATTAAATAACTGAAATTATACTATATTCGTCATATATTTTCAAATGACTAGCTGCCTTCATGATACAGAAAATTTTGCAAACATACTAACCAAGAATAAGGTTGAAATATGACGCTGAAAGATATTTTAATCAAATCTAAATCATCATAAAAGTACTGTAATAAAACAATAACAAACACATATACTACTTACTTGCTCAATTCGGTTGTCTGTTGAAAAACAAAATAAAACATGTTTAAAAAATTTGTTTAATTGGACACAGAGGGCGCAAAATAAATGCACTGAGACGAAAATATGTGTGCAACGTTTTAATGTATTTTCCACAATTCCTTTTCCAATATGAACCAAATTGAAACAATTTCACATTGTTTACTGGTTTTGATTAAAATATTTGAAATAAACAAGTAAAGTAAACAAGTAAGTTTATTTTGTGAAAGAAGACATCACCGACTTTGTCAGGACTTCAAAGAGTATGAACATTTTGTTAGCTCTAGCACTAAATTGACAATTATGTTACGTCTATGGGATTTAAGCGCGGGACAGATACTGACACTCGTATAATGTGTCTGTACTGACACAGAAATGACGTAAAGTCGACGCAATATATACATATATACGTAACATACTAGTACACGATCATTGCAGATTTCATATTTTATAATTGCACTAATGAATGTAAACAAAAATGTTAGACAAAAAATGAAAACTGCAGGCGATGGATAAATTATTTTCAATGCTGTGTGAAGATGGGCAAAAGTCACGGTCACGTATCCAGTCACGGTCCATAAAGGTTTTATCATATAATTATCATATATTGCTTCATTTTATGTTGTTAATTATCTTTTTGTATATCTTTTTGACATGTAAGATTATTTTGAAGTAATGTACTTTTTTGGGAAAATATATGAATAAATTTTTTTTTTTATAAAAGACAAAAAAAAAATAATTATCATATAATAGATGTAATTACAATTTTACCACGGTGTGACCTCAAACACACGACGTAGTTTAGAATGGCGCATTTTGTTTTGATTGATGAAAGCCGAGAGCGCTGGGCCACGATGTGAGGGAGCAGTTCCTATAGCGTTACGGCCCTAGCAATACGAGATACAATGTATATAAGGTATGTACACAGTTTCTATTCGGTAATGCTTGCAATGTCTTGTAAACATTTGTTGCCAATATTTTCCACATATTTTTTCATATATATATTATATTACCTGGTTAATCCAGCGTGTGACTTTCGACCGAATCCACGACCATCGATCTGTCTGTGGTTGAGGATTCCAGTTCGAAGCCGACGCTATAGTAGTAGTTACCTCCGTTGATGGTTTCTTCCTGCTCGTCTTTTGTTCAGTTCGCTGTGCATCCCTGTGACGTAGTAGCGGAGTATGTAAATGACCCAGTCGACGTTGTAATGACAGGAAACTCGTCACCGATTTACCATGACCGACGAGTATTTGGTCGTTGAGGGCGTACACGTGGTTGGCGTTCCCGATATTGACGAACACGTTGAAACTTTTCAAGTCAACCATATCACCTAAAGAAACGAACACCAAACATCTGGTATCGGTTGGTGAATATATTTCAGCGGACGCACTTTCCATTCAATGAACAATTTGTATTCTACAATTGTTGATTATTTTTTTCTCCTAATATTTTGCATTTTTTTATTTTTAATGTAGACTAAAAATCGTGCCACGGTGGCATACAGTCTTTTGTTTATTTGTGGGTGTTTTTTTCAATAAAATAAAATATGGAAGGTGTATAAATGGCGAAAGCCGGGTTATCGTGAAATAAACAATGCAGGTCTTTCCGCCTCCTTATTTACATACAATGGCACGAGGCGTACGTCACGGTGACGAGTGTTACGAATGCCGCAGCATTTCAGCATAGGCAACCGAATATCGACTAACTATCTTTTAAATAAGGGAGGTAGTGTGAGTCTTGCTATGGTGACAACTGCCGTTACTTAATGGAATATGGATACTGAATCCATTGTCTCATTTAGGTGATCTGTAATGCATATATGTTTATTATTACATCATCTACTTACTTCCAAAGAAAGGTCTCAAGTCATCCATGGTACACGGTGGTTCTTTTCCTAGGATTTCTTTGATTTTACTGTAGAATGCTGTAAGTTGCACCTGTATTTATATAATAATACCTTATCCAATTTGAATCCACAATTTTTATTCTTTTTAAACTTCAATATTAAAATAACAAAAAAGAAAATAATGGAAGCAAGATCATACATTGTGCTATTTGTCTGAAATTTTAAAGCGCGGTTAACTTAGGTCTGATCATTGATTATAAAATGACGCGGTGTAAGCAATATCGTTCAAAATTTGATTTATTTACGAACTGGTCAGAGTGTTAAAGAAACAGTATGATTTGATGGATGAGTGGCGAAATTAAGCACGCGTTTCATTTTTTTGAAGAAAAAAAAACGTTGCCTTTTAAATAAATATGCACGATGAAAAATATCATAACTAGGCATATCAATTATTCATCAGAGACTTTTACATGTTACTAATTTGTTGGGTGTAAAATAAAAACTTTGACCACAATAATAAAATGGTTGGCAACATTTTTACATTAGTTCCACAGCTCAGTGGATTTATTTGTACTAGGGAACCTGGGCGAACATTTCAGACTAAAAATCCCCGCCCCACTTTAAAACTTGGCGGTATTGATTTACTTATCCACATAAGTACTAGGGAAAATTATACACCAGTTTTTTTTTTTTTTAATAAGGTATTTCGAACCCTTTAAAAAAGTCTGAAAATAACTTTCTTTCTTTTCCAATAAACCATAACAACGTTCTAGGAATTTTGTTTCCCGGATGAAGTCACACAATCGACCCCCTTCGTCACGCATATTACCCACCAAGTCTGGCAGTTATTGTGCGGCACAGCTACGTGAAGATAACGTAGGTGTCGCAATGATTCTTGCGAGAAATTACGATACGGTCGTATAAGATACAACACAAATAACAAGGAACCCACCTGTCTACTGCTCCCGAAACACTCCTCCCATATTATCTGAGCTGAGAAATACAAACAAACAAGCACATTTACAATTGTGTCCACATAATGAAATTGTTGGGCATGGCGTTTAAGACTCATGTATAACCTCATGATTAGCAACGGCAAACACAATGACCGAACAAAATGAGCGCCATCATTGTTTTAGTATAATTTTACTTTCGTTTTTTTTTTACTTCCGTGTTTTATTACTGGATAATTGTGACATTATGACGTCATATGAACACTTGATACGTACCATCTTCGTTCTTGATGAGTTGTTGCGCTGCTGGATTGATGGTTCTTCTGGCAGCCGCGTTAAAAAAATTCTGGAAAAAACGAACAGCGAAAAGGCGTACTATAATAAGTATGCGAACCAGAGCTTTACGGATTTGACGCCATCATATATATATATATCCATCAGCCCATGTATCCCATGATACTATATTTTAAGTTAGCGTGTAGCCGACGTCGTATGCACTGTGACACTCACCAATTTATGCAGACCTGGGTGTATTACATGTATTTAATATTTTTTTTCTCGTCCGTTAAAACAAAGTTAAACATGAATTGCTGTGCCGAGGTTCAAAGTTACTTATCTTATATCGAGTCGAACGCACGATGACGTGGTGGTTTATTTACATTTAGTGTGTGTTCGGTATTTATTGTGATCATGATATTTCATCCAAACAATGTTTTATTGCATATGTCCATTCGAACTTTTTAACTTTGCCCATGTTGTATTAGTGTTTTAAACTATTCGTCTATTACTAGAAATGGTTAAATCATCCATTGATCTAGATTGATTCATAACATATTAGACAAAACAAAACTAAACTAAACTAAACTAAACAAAACACTGTCTTTGGCATGATAATAACAACAAAAGAACTGTCTCGACATAATTACGTACGTTCGACAATATAATACTATATTTGCCACCATGTAATTCGCCTATTTTTAACTAGTTTTGATTTTGACAAAGTGTGTTTATACATAGACCTTAGAAAACAACTCTATGGTTTATACAGGTAATCAAATAGGTTCCCATTCTTAACTCACTTTGCGTAGAACTGCGAACTCTTTTGCTTTTTCTTCCAATGCCACCCGTTGACCCGTCATTATATCACCGACCATACTGCTGTCATTCATTCCAACGGCAAATATCAGCCGTCCGATTTCCTCCAACCGCACTCTTAGCTCCCGTAGTTTATTTTCAATATCTATAAAATAGAACTAGAATCAAACACTGGACAGTTCAGTCAAATAAGTGGCCAATATATTAGTAAAAACTTGGTTGTGTACATGATGTAGTTGATGTACACACCTAAAGGAAACACAGTCGAAAACAATAAATATTGTTTTAATTTCACAAACACCGCTGGAAAATATTCCAACCTAGCAGCGTAGTAAATTCACATACCGATTGGAATTTACTACGCATGCGTAGATAAGTTGGTCAAAATTCAAGTGTTTTATGAAGCTGACAAGTAGTGTCCGATTCACTTATAATGCTGTCCACAAGAAGGTCGTTTCTCGTTTAAATGTAAAATGCTTAATTATATGTCAATAGTTAATAATGTATTTATTACTCTACAAGCACCATCGGTGTGCATGGTAAAAACGGTCGTGTCCGTGATTCTAGGCCACGTGTAAATACTTTATTCTCATTTTGACCATTTCCAAATATATATTTATATATAACCGACATATATATCATTATATACCACATTGCATATCACTAGGCTAGGAATCATAAACACGACCATACACTATTCACCTTCTAGTTGCACATTACAAATGTGGTTTATATGAACAAGTCATTATATCAACCGATCAAAATTGACAGTGATCTATGATCTACTGCACACTATAATAGGCAGCCAGTCAGCAAATCACGTGCTCGAATGAGTACTGGTACTTCAGTCTTATCAACTCTAACAAAAGACGAATACAAACAACTTTACATTGGAATACAGAATTACGTTGAAAAAACAACCTATTTTTTTAAAAAATATTTTATTTATTGTCAGTGGACTGTAGAAATATTTTGCGTCGATAAATATGCATATACATACACAATTCGGTGATTACGATAGACCACCGGGAACAATGAACTTAATCCTTCATATATGTTTGTCCTATTTCAAACAATAGGGTTTTATAGCCGTCTTTGTGTCGTGCATCCTAAGGCCACTAAAACTGGTCCGAAGTACACCGCATCGTAAAATTGGCACAGGGCATCAATTATTGCTATATTGAGAGGGATAAGGTATAAATCATTCAGCGATGCAATGAACATAACAAAAAAATTAAATAGTATGCCACTGTTAATTGCACTCACCGGGAGTCAGCTGCAGATCTGGAACCGCGTTTAAATTCTCGAAGAAAATTCCCAAATGCGACATGCTGGACTCCAAGCGGATGCTCTTCGCTGGCAACTGTATTTTTAACATTTTGTACAAGCTGTAAAAGGAGTGGAGTATTTTCAGGTAAATCCTTGCGACTTGGCGCAGTTTCTCTGACATGGTTTCTATATTAGGCATAGTTATATAAGACTTCTCTTTGCTGAAGTGTTTTAAATTGTTGCTGGTCGCAGATTCGTCGTTTTCCGCTTGGTTGAACCCGAACTTAACTCCGAAGTACCTTGCTCTTCAACGCTTTCTTGCGGCGTCAGTTCGATTTTGCAACTGCGTGAACAATCACTTATATAGTATGAACAAAGAGCGATTCTTTTTCAAACCTTTCAAGGCTCGTCCAGCAGACCTATCTTTAACTTCTTATATATAATCGCTCATCATATAGTGACCACAATTCGACGCTGCCTACTAGTCCGATTAATTAAGAATTCCCATATGTTAGCCACTTTTAAATTACGAGGTACTCGTAACCTCTCGCGCGAAAAATCGAATAATTATACGCCGACAATACAGTATGGACAACACGTATTGTGACGCCACAGTGGCCTCACTGATTTGGACGTTGACATAAAACATTACGGCAGCTCATCTCGTCCTAGCAGCGAAACAATAAACAGGTGAACAAAGTCAAGTCACTGGACCAATCGCCCTTTATTGTGTTCTATTTGAAAGTAACGGCATTGGTTAAATGGGTCTCTATGCCGTCATGTTGCCATGGGTACAACGCAGAGAATGCGGCCTGTAATCGGGCTGTACAGGTTTCTGTCATCAAGTATGTGTACAGGTAAAGGATTCGTCCGATACTGTGTAATGAGAACATGATTCCTTTCTTAGCAGTGGGGAACCATGACAACCAACGGAAAGTTTAGGTCACCATTGCAAGTTCCAATTTTCTTTGTATTTATATAACGTATTATTGTCAAGATTATTTTTTAAACAGATAATGAAATAAAACAAAAGACGAAGTTCAACGACGTGCGTACACAGTTCATGTAGGTAGAACTTGGACACACTGGTATAGATTTAACAAGCATGCCTGCCGTCATGGTTCTCATTTTTTCCGAGACGTTTGTAAAAAAGATTCGCACGGTATTACAACGTTCAGATATTATTAATACATTTGACTGAAATAAAGTACGAAATATACATTGTTTATAATAATTGTGTTGTGGTAAACATGTTTCAAAATAATGTTAAAGAGCATTGGTGTCTACGTTGCGTCGTGTTTGAAATGGAGGCCATCAGACACGCGCAATGCAGGCAAATACTTTTTTTTGTTTATATGTACAGGAAATTCAAAAGCAGGTTGTGCGGTGATCACCGTCTTTTTAAGAGATCGGAATAGATGTGATCTCCAAAGATAATGGGTTTTGCGGCAAATGTGTGACCAAACAGCTTTCACAAGAACACAGTCACCAAACAGGTGTGTCGTGTTACGGGGTGCCTCAGGTTTAATCCCATGTTGATCATCTTACCACCGCCAGCATTATGATAACAAGTACCAATCACTCACAATAAACTTCAACTCAAATAAAAAACTCTCCTTATAGTTACTTATTTTTTTATTTTTTTTTTTTTCTGGGTCACCCGAATAATTAAGAGAAAATCAAATCAGCCGCCTCTTTATTCCCCAACTCTGCGTACAGGAGGAACCGTGACATTGCCAAGCTTCGCTTCGATTGCGCGCTTGTCTCTATATGAACGAGCTTTACTTGGATGAAGGTCGCGGTACCGAGAATATTAAGATTTACTAGCAAACATTATTCCAATAAATCTAATTGTAAAATAACTAAATGTACTATTTTTTGACTAGACTTTTTTAGAGAATGTCAGGCGATGACCTCAAACGACCACGTCATTATCTTTACGTATAAGATGTGTTTTATTACGCTGTATTGTGTTGCGAGGACGCATTGTGTCCTTCCGTACACCACATACACACAATACAACAGGTTGGTGAAGTTCAGATGTGTACTGGGAAAGGAGTTTGCCTGGGGCAAGCAAAGTTAAACAATCGTAGTCTCGTAAATAATTTTAAGCAATTTGGCACAAATCCCATTGTAAACATTTTATTTATTTTGTGTGGCAATTAGAAATCATCAAACGAGAAAGCATACTTATAACATGGTTTGTAAAACGGGTCATAGATGTTATATAAATTGATCTTATTTATGTTCACGATAGTGTTCCACAATATAAAATGCTGATATCAAATCACAGTGTTCTGGTATGTATGGTAATGATATCTAGTCTCCGTGGACATGCTCTGCCATTTGAATGTTAAACTGTCTTGAGTGTGTCTAGTACTTGCATGGCAGACAAATCGAACAAACCAATAAGCGTATTATTTTATTGTTGAATTTCGTTACACACATGTAAATAGCAAATGTCAATAGGTGATTTTCCGTACAATTGCGAGATCTCGCGATATGCATGAAAGACGCGCGTCGAACGTCTGCCGCAAAAATCGAACGAATTGATTTTGAACTAGAATTTCTTTATTTCGTAGCTTACATTGTCCGGCCGATCTTCGACAGAGGAATATTGCTTCCGAATACCCTTACTTAATCGAAATTGCCTATCATCAAATATGGACAGCACATTATTAAGCATGGAAATGTCTCCGAAATACTTTCGCGTTTGTCGAATCCCACGCGATGTTTGACGCGACTACGACGCTATGACCTTTGTTTGTCCTGTTTTTACGTTCGATTTCACGCATAACGCGTGATTCTTGCAGTGAACGGAAAATGGTCTATTTAAGATCTGATTCTCGTAACTGTGATGTCGTTAATATTTTGGACAAATAATGGAGATGATAGTGAAGTTGTTTGGAAATGTTACCGACGTTGTTTTCATATTGAATCACGTAGTTGAAAACTCAAAAAAGTTTCGACTCATTAAACGTTCATTGCATATTATCAGTTTGCCATACGAGCTGTCTGTAACCTGTTACAAACCAGTGAGCAAAGTTGTGCAAAGTGATAGGGAAGTTGGCAAAGCTGCTAGCTAATTTGACCGATGCTATTGTCATATCAAATCACAGAGTTGAAAACTTGAAAAGTGACTAAAAGCCCCCCAATCGCTCATTACATTAGTGGACTGCTGCACGAGCATGTGCGGGTCATAGGCCAACTTTTGAATCATTCAACTTTTATACAAAATTCAAAACACCTTTTACCATTAATGGCTCCAATTCGAAATACGTCAAACCGACTGCCATGGCAATTTTAAACTGCGTTGAGCGTGACTAGTAATTGTATGCGACACCAACTGTACAACCAACCAACATATCTAGTTGTTTTTGTGGAATTGTGTCACACGCATTCATACGAGTCATCTCAATTTATAATGTGTTTTTTCGTAATGTCAATAAAATGTTGTTGAATTTGAAATGTTTTAACGTTGTTACGAAATGTCAGAAATAAATCGGCTCCTGCATTCAACTTAATCTAGCCGTAAACTTTTGAAAACAGTGAGCAAAGATGTGACAAGTGATGGGATAGATCGCGTTGTTTGAAAATGTGACCTATGTTATTTTCATATTGTATCACATAGTTGAAAGATTAAAAAGTCGCGAAAATAGTCTTGAATATAAAGTTTTAATGTTGTTACGAAATGTCAGTAAAAATTAGCTACTACAACGTCAAAAAAAAACTTTCCGTAATCTGTTAAAAAGAGCGCGCAAAGTTGTGCTAAAATTGTGGGGAATATAGCGAATTCGTTTGGAAATTTGACCGACGTTGTTTTCATATTGAATCCCATATTTAAAAGCTCAAATAGTTACGAAAAGACTAATAAACATTCATTACATATTATCAGGATTCCATACAAGTTGTCCGTAAGCTGATAAAAAATAACGCGCAAGGATTTGCAAATTGATGGGGAAGTAAGTGAACCTGCTTGGAAATTTGACTGATGTTGTCATATCAAATCATCTATGGTTAGTGTTCCGACATATAAAGTGACGATTTCAAATCACTATGGATATATAGTGTCCGGCTATTTGTTATCTTCATGTTTGCGCAACAATTCAGGATATGGAAAGGGGACAACTATGTTTGGAAAATTGACAAAATGACCGCCATTGCTTTATTTATAATCTTAAAACATGTTTTAGGAGCTTTTCCGAAAACCTTATACTTTATTAGCTCTGAGTAAAACATAGCAATATTTGTTTTCTGGATTCTGCTTTCAGTTTGCACTCTTAAAACATTCATGGAGTTTCCTGAGTTCTAATAACGAAAACCAAACACTTCTTGAATAACGTTGGTGGCGCTATTCCCACTCTTCGTTCATGATCCTCTATGTTTCACACTGTTGCCCAGATTCCATTCATGCGTACTTTTTCTCGTTTATACATACTAATATGTCATATCTTTAGAGTTAATAGTCGATATTAATCGTAATATATACAATATACCACAAGTGTGGCTGTTACACTTGAATAATCGAGTGTATCTGTGATTAACTATACAAATTGTACAACATTGTATATACTAGCAAGCCTGAGTAGATCGTTGATGAAATCTTCTCCAATGCAGGATCAAGGCGTGGAATTGTTTATGATTGTGTTTATGCATATCACTGCATTAATCAAAACGATTAACAACGGTATCAGCTTCCTTAAGAAACTATTACTATTGAAACGTCATTTTAAAATACACAGTAATAATATGCTAAAAAAGGAATGTCAGTTTAAAAATGTATCTATCCTTGTATATATATTTTAAGACAAAGAATAATTGACTTCCAATATATTTAAATATGTTTCCTAAAATAAAGAAAATGCACCTATACATTCTCCTTCGTAAGGACTATGGGTCTTTTATCACTAAGCTAGGTAGTCGTCAGAGAACGTCCCACTTGTTACGGTTTTCTGTGGCTCCCTAGGTCAGGTCATAAGCTCGAAGACTCTGCAAGGAAGTGTGGCATTCATACAGCACAAGGGCTAGTTCCCATAAAGAGTAATACTCCCACTGAGTGTTTTTTAACTAAAAAAAAATACATTCTGAATCGGAATTCACCTGATAGTTGATAATACACCCGAGATTTGAGAACTGTCAAAAAAATCAGATTCAGAAACCTGCTACTAGTAGTCCCAGGGTTTGTTCTTCACAGACATTCCCTGACAGTTATCCAATGAAAACCAACCATATTTATTCTAATGACAACGCTGAAGTACCCGGATGATTTCGTCATCGCTATGCAGGAAACTGTCAATACGTGATTTGGCAAAATTCAGAGTATCTTCTGACACCTCGACCATGAATTGCGCCATCAGGTTGTGACCTGGCATGAAGTAATGGGTCAATTTAGTCCGTGTCATGCACACCAACAACCTCTTCAGAAACTCTTTGAAATAGCGAGAAGTATCGTACATGCACCAATCGATGCCTGGACCAGAGTAGTCTTTTAACATATGGAGAAATATGGTCTTTAAGTAATATGGATGGATGCAAGCCAAGGAAGGATCTTTTCTGCAGAACGCCTTCATTATCCGTAATACCTTGATTTGACTCGCCGACGTGTTTCTTAAGATGTGCTGTTCTTTGTCGATATCGCTTATTCGCCATTTTCCTATCGCCCCTTCTGCATCATCATAGACAAGTGTTTGCGCCAAATAGTATCTG